AGAGCGGTTGCCTCCAACCTACTAGCGATGGCCTCCAACCTACTAGCAATGGCCTCAACCTGCTAGCAATGGCCTCCAACCTATTGATTGGCCTACAAGGGCAATGTTCACGCGAAAACTCGCTTTTTTGAGCTCTCTTGAGCTCTCTTCCTGCCGAGCTGCCATCCACATCGGCCACAATTGGAGTCTCCAAGTCGGCTCCGTCGCAGCTCATGTCGAAGCTCTGCGAATGAAGGAACAAGGCCTACGATATCTAGTTTGAGCCTTTGAGATGTTCCTCGGGATGTAAGGCTCCAGCTCAAGTGACTCAGTGTTTGAAGTTATATTTATATAAGAGTCGTTTATTTCAAGGACCTTCAAGGACTGGCGCTGCTTCCTATGCATGTTCAATTTCCTTTTGACTCCGCACCAAAGGGCGCCAGCAGCTGCAAACCTACTGGACGTTAGTCCTGACAGAACGCGTCTGTGTTCACGCAACACGGAGTGAAAAGAACCATGAAGCCTCCAAGAAGCCGCAGGGCAACACTATCACTGGACATGAGAACCTCACTCTTTGAGATCTGCACAGCTCACGCTTACAGGATCTTCAAAAAGACTCGCTTCAGGATCTTGAGACTGAGGAACTACCCTTCTGTTTCACACCTACAACCACATCAGTTGTGAAGAAATACACATGAAACGAGAAAGTGCAAGAGTCTTCACATGCCAAGGAACACACTCACAATGGCTGTGGGCATCATCCAACCAAAATAGCTAGCAAAGCATTGACCAAGCTGCTCGTGGGGTATCGCACTGTGGCATCAATAGCTGCATCCAGTGTAGCTGGTACGCAGAGAACATCGATGGATTGGAGCATCTCCTCATGATTTAGAAAGTCGCTGCGACTCCTCAGAATCTACCGGACAGCCTGTGTGCTGTCAACTGGTCCCAGAAGTCAAAAATCACGATTTTCAAGCTTGGAGATCAGAAGATCCCTATCATCATATACATCAGGCTCCTCCTACATCATATATCATCATATACATTGGATTTGGCGTCGCACCTTATAGCTGCAAAAGTGAGCCTGTATGTTGCGGTTTATGTCATGGTGACATGTACACAGCAATGCAGTCAAGACTGAACATCTGTATACTGCACTAATCCTGGCACGCTGCCTTCTTGAGCGCAATGCCGTTTACACTGCGCGCACAGGGTCAGACTTCGTCCGCCCTGAAACCATTTGCGTGAGCTGCTGGTGTGATATACATCACCGCAAGGGTGGATGGTGATCGTCGCATTTTGCGATCTGATCCACCTCTGCTCATGTTCTCGTACTGCCGATGACAGGACTACACTCTGTTGGCATTGTGTCTTCAATTGGCTCTCACAGGCTTCGAGTGCCTGCGTCAAAGCTTGAATCTGCTCATCTCTGTAGTCAATCTCACTGTGCAGTTCATCAATCCTCTCGTAGAGCTTGAAGACGATGTGAGGATCGTCCTCTTCTTCTGTCTGGCAGTTCTTGCTTTCTTTATCTCTTCCTTCATGGTCTTTCTCCTTCGCGCACCACTGAAGGAATTTCCACATGCCCATAGCCACGCTCAAGGCTCCAACCACGTTGAGGATCAGCATGCTCATCACGGCATAGTCAAGCCACGCGTCCCCAACTTCTTCTCCTCTGCCTTCGGCTCCCGTCATGAGGCTGAGAAGCATCACTAGGGCTGTTCTCATCTCGCCCTTGTTGCTGTTCACAACACTTTTCACTTTCTTCTGCATTTGCATCTTCTGTTCCGTCTGCATGTACTCTTCCTCGTCAATCTCGATGTCGAACTCGTCCACAATGTTCAAGATGTAGGCTAAGGCTTTTCAGCCTGAACTGACTCAAACCTTTTGTTCCTATGTCTGCTGGGTTCAGCATTGTGGGGATCGGCGTGATCTCGACGCTACCGTTCTGGGCCTTCTCCTGAATCCACATCATGCCTGAGTCTATGTGTCTCACCCTGCCGACTCCTTCTCTGCAGTCATTGACCTTGCTGTTGACGAGTCACTGCACGCTTTGATCTTGGGAGCTCATCCCAACATGACAACCACGCGTCGCACAAACAGTGCTTCTGAGTCGAAAGAGCTATCGACTTCTGGCTGCGGACCTTTGACTCAATCAGGCATCCATCCAGGAAAATGCGAAAGCAACTCAAGCTTTTCCTCCTAGTCTCCTTGCAGCCGGCCAAGCCTGCGTCCGTGATGACTTCGATCAAATGATGCTGTCGCTCTTTGATATCATCGACCTCTTGATGATCGAGCACTGATCGGCCTTTCTTTGTCTTCTGGCCATACTTTGCTGTACCACTGTACCATTGAGGTAGCTTGCCAAGTGAATCACTGTCACTTGCTTCACTTGTGCATGTTCAATGGCTTCGACATCATCCTGGCCAGCATATGGATTGCATATTGTGTGTGGCCTTTCACCACTGATGCACATCATCTTTCCAACACAACTCCTGAACTTTGTGCAATCCGTGCTGTCAAGCTCTTCACCATGTTGCACCGTTGTTGATGTCTGTTGCACAAGGAATTGCCTTTGGCTTCTTCCTCCCAACTCCACACATCTCTGTCAACTCTTCTATGGTCTCACAATGATTCCATCATGTGTGATGCTGTACTTTCGTTTCAAGTACATGAACTCATCATCGATGTTCTTGAAAGGTCCTTCAATGTCCATCTTCCAGCCTGCCTTTGTCTCGAGGTAGTCAAAGAAGTTGTCCATGGCTGTTTTGCTCCCAAGCAAAAACAGATCGTCCACATGGACACTTATCAGCAGATCTTTCAACTTGAACAACGTTGGTTGCATCACATCTGCAACTCCTCCCAATGCTCTGACTGTTGCATTGAAAAGCTCAAACCATAGTTTTGCTGCCGTTTGTTGTCCAGGTAGGCATCTGTCCAACCTGTAGTACTTGTCTCTGTACTTGATGGCATTCTTCCCTCCTGTCGGCTGTTTCGACATCAATCCTTTACATCTGCCCTGCATTTGCAACAAAACGTATGCAAAGAGTCGTGGCGCGACTGATGCTGAGGTTGGTGCAAAAGTGTCACGCTTTCCTCGTTTGAATGGTCGCGCTACCAACCATGCCCCGCGGAACCATCCATGTTTCTCTTGTCTCTTCTTCCACACCGTTACCAATCTGCTGGGTATCAGTCTGTGGATCTCTTCATCCTCTGCGATGATGTCCAGCTTGGCTAGCGGCTAGCTCTTCTGGTGGCAACTCTGGTGGGAGCTCACCATCACCTACATCTCCTTCATTCTTCATTTCATCTTTCAGCTCCTCTTCAAACAGCTCTACTTCTCCCCAGATGTTCGTGACCCTGATTTCTGGGTCATCGCCCACATACTCCCTTTTCACACGCTTGATGCCCCCTGCATAGCTTGGTGGGAACAAGCGTTCTGAGTTGGGGCTTCCTTCTGCTATCTCTTCTGCACTTCGTTTCACACCATGGTCTTCTCCTGAGATCTCTTTGTCTTCTTTCTTCGATTGCGCTGCCTTGCTGTCATCAAACTTTCTCTTTCTCTCTTCTGCATCTTCGCTTGATGCTGCCTGGCTCCCTCGGCTCGGAATTTCTCCCGGTGACGCCCAACGTCCCTGTATCAGGATTCCTCCCGATGGGATCACCAAGTCTTCATACTTTCTCTTTGTCGATCCTTCCTCAATTCGCACTGGCGCTTTGAATCCCGACGTCAATGGCACTGTCTGTGGCCTGGGCATTGATGCTCCTGGCCTTGGTGTCACGCTACCCGTGAGTGCTGGTGTAGCCAATCCCAGACCAATCTGTCGCGACACATCTAGCACTTCCTCTTCTGTTGCATCATTGACTGGGACTGCGTCTCTTTTCTTTCTTCCACCATGTTTCCTCAACACTCCCATACCAGTGTAGGCCCATGGTAGACCTCTGGCGAATTTGATGCCCACACTGTTGAATTGCTCTGCAAGCCTTCTCACGCTTCTGGCTTCGACTGCTCCTGATGGTGCCAAAATGACGTGGCAGTCTGACCGTGTCGATTTGCCAACCCAAACTCTTCTCTTTGAAACTGCATCTCCCTTGTAGGGACTGTGCGCTTTGTACAGCACGCTCTCACCAAAAGCGCAAACTGTGCCCCTGTACTGCTTGCCATACTGCAGTTCACACGATGTTCTCTTGTCCGGCGCTAGCACATGAAATCGGTTGATCAGCCACGCTCCACGCCTAAAAGTCTATGGATAGATGTCTGCGTCACCTCCGATGTAGTGGCGGCATCTTTCCTGGCAGAACTCTCTGACGCAGTTGCCCACGGGTCTCACGCTTTGGATGGCTCTTTCAGCTGCTCCATTGCTTTGGCGCTGGTCTTTGCCTGTTGTTCTGACTTCTGTCTTGAGGCCTAGTCGCGCTCGTGTCTGCAATCAAGATCTGGAGACAACTTCTCTCTCCATCTGCCTGCAGGATCTAGTCATCCTGGTTACTGTTGCGCAGGCTGAATCGAACCAACTCCTCAACCTCATGCCTGGCGGCACCTTTGGCTGGTACTGGTAGGGCTATCACTGCTCTGGTGTCCGAAATCGTTGCGACAAGCGACAAGCATTGTCCCACGTTGGCTGGGATAGTCCTCTGGCTTCACGAATTCTCCAGGAACCGTTTCATAGTTTTCATTGGTGAACGTGTAGGCAAAATCAAATGCCATCACTGTCTTCTCCTGATGATCTTCTGACTTGTGACTGTCCTCTTTGGACCTCGTTGCAAGACACGCCTCACACCATGACTCAAATGGAATGTGAATCAGGTTGCGGTGGCGCTGGACTTCTCTGCTTGGCATCTTCGGCGCCTTAATTAATGGATACCGCTTTTCGGATGTTCTCTTCATATAGCTTCTTTGCAACGCCAGCTTCCAATTCCCATTGAAGCTTCAACTTGAAATTGCGCAATCTTGCTAGCAACTTCTTCTTCGTACCACTTGTTGGCAATCCTCTCAAGAGCAGGCCTCTCTTAGGACCTTTGCTTCATCTTCCAGCTTGTAGACCTTGTCGTCAATTGCAATCCCCTTAGCTGGGTCTCTCTCATGGTGTTGCGGCTCTTCTTTGGCAAGCGCTGCCTCGTCTGCTTCGCCTGTGTCGTACTCATCTTCGTCGTCCCACTCGATCTGGTGTAGTGCATCCTTTTACCTTGGGGTAAGGAGCTAGTGGAACTTCACTTCCTTCCTCATAGAAATCT